ACTCAGGTATGCTGTGATGTTTAAGAGTTGCTCATTTGTTACTAAGTGGCCAAGAATGTGCAACAAATATCCCCTACACGCCCACAGGCAAAACAAATGCAGGCTGTCACGTTGTTTATGCCATAGTTTGACGCCCCCCATCTGACTGTTGTGGCTAAAATCAACCCACTAGTCCAAGCAATATTTTTCCAATCTGTTACACTTCATTTTTAGTGTTACCTGTTGTGTGGTCTTCTCTATTGTATTCTGCTTTAAGGTTGACTCATATATTCAAGAGAGAATTTCCTACAGTCATCTTTTAGCCCTTTGTAATCTCAACCTGGTCTGACTTATATTCTCTCATCTCCGATATCAACAAGGTGTCACTGGATGGTTTTTCTCTTTTGGACTGTCCTCCATAGATCCCAAATAATGCATAAAATCCCAGTAGATCAGCAGATTCTGAAATATTCGGACTAGTTTATCTTGCATCAAAGAAATTGCCATGGAAATTGCCATTTTATTCCCATTCAATGCTCGTTTGAACTTCACCAAGTCATCCTTACCTTGTTTCTGGGGATGCGATTGATAGTCACTATATGTGTGAACAAGCAATTGCACTAGAACCTGGTCAAGCAGTTTCCTTGTATCTAAATGTTTTGCAGGCCAGAACCGTTTCCCAGGCTGCCGATGTAAAACCCAGTGCAACACCAAGCAGTGTCCATGCTACCTGGCTGTACGAGAGTGTGACCCAGATCTCTGCATGACCTGTGGAGCTGCCGACCACTGGGACAGCAAAGTGGTGTCCTGTAAGAACTGCAGCATCCAAAGAGGCCTTAAAAAGGTTCATGAAAGTTCCAGATGATAGTGTACACTAATGGTCCAATATTCAGATGTTGTGCATCAGGAAAGAAAACTACTTATGGCTTCTCTTTCAGCACCTGTTGCTGGCTCCATCAGATGTTGCTGGTTGGGGAACATTCATCAAAGAGCCTGTGCAGAAGAATGAATTCATCTCTGAGTACTGCGGAGAGGCAAGTCCATGCAGTTTAATTAGATTTTTCACAGTTTCTGACAATCGATTTTAATTCTTTCATTTCTATCTGCAGCTGATCTCTCAAGATGAGGCAGACAGACGAGGAAGGATTTACGACAAATACATGTCAAGCTTCCTTTTCAATTTGAACAACGGCAGGTTTTTTCTATTCTTGCTGCAAGGCTTTACTATATGTTTAAGCTGGAATCAGAAATTGTGTTGAAGGGTAGATAGTATGAAGTGATGTTCTGTTTTAAGCTTACAGAGGTAAAACCCAATTGAAGTAGAGAAAACTCATAGCACGTTCTCCTAGTAGATAAATTCAACTTTGTTGCACTTGGACTTTGACGCTGCTGGAGGAAAACACTTTTTATGTTCTGCTCTCAGTTCATGTTTGACTTAAGAAGATCATTGGTGGCATACCTCTGCCAAGCACCATTTCTATTGTAATTAATAAAGTTGTTTCTTGATTAATAATCTTCCCGTACACATATTTTTAATGGTATATAAAAGTTCCCCAATATATCCTCTTGATTTGTTGAGACTTTAAGATCATAGAAGCTCACTTTTGTCTTCGGCCTTCCTGTTAACTTTTGCTTTAGGGAGAAGTACTCGGGATTTATCTTCTGCAAAGATATGAACTACTTATACAATTCTAACTCTACAAGTCTTGAAAAGTCCTGAACTAATCATTCAATTCTGTCTACAGATTTTGTAGTGGATGCCACACGAAAGGGGAACAAAATTCGATTTGCAAATCATTCAGTTAACCCCAACTGCTATGCTAAAGGTGAGTGTTTCGTTGGCAGAATGAATTCAAGGTTTTCTGAAGACTTTCTTCACTGATGTTGCTCTTGTTGCCAATGCAGTTGTGATGGTTAATGGAGACCACCGTATTGGAATCTTTGCCAAGCGAGCTATCTTGCAGGGGGAAGAGCTCTTCTTTGACTACAGGTGGGGTTGCAGGCCTTTTTGTGACTACATTAGTTTAAGTGTAGCATTAGAGGAAAAATAGTGTATGCAGTCTATGCATTTTTACCTGCTTAATTACTTGCTTCTTGACTTGTTTCCACCCACAGATACAGCCAAGCTGATGCTCTGAAGTATGTGGGGATAGAGAGGGAAGTGGACATGACTTAGCTTTGTTACTATATCTATTGACTGGCCTTCGTTCAACATCTCTGTACGTTATGCAAGCTTCTTCAGCATATATAATGTAGATCAGTGAGATGCATGTGCTGTCTTTTGACACATCACCAACTAAACGTGTTAGCCAAGTGCTTCAGCTTCAGTCAGATCCTTTTCCTGTTCGGTCACGTAGTATTGTGGATAATAGCGTTATACCCTGACTGTTCCACTGAAAAGCTTGCATCATTAATACATTTCTGCCATGAAATAAGCTCATTTATATCAATGTTCTGCAAAAATAGGCAACTAGTTGACAAACCGACTGACTGAATGTAACTTTAGATGGCAAAGAAGAGGTCTTACCTCACAAAATCCCAGAATTGGTACTCAGATCGTTGTATATACAGCAAACATATAAACATCATCCTACCATGATAATAAAGTAAAATAGTAAGAGTAAATGTCTTCCTTTAACATTCAAAAGAAGTGCCAAAAGATTATTCATTAAAAAGCTAAAATAATCTGCATGTGATGTGTTGTATAAAAAAAAAGAGAAAGGTTATTAAGTACGAAAAAGCTAAATGACCCATTGTGTAACATTTAATTCACCGTGCTTTTTATTATACAGTGTCTTGCAAAGGTTTTCACTCTGCTTTCATTTGGTCTCCTTACATTGTTTTATGACATTACAACTACCGACTTTGGGTTTTATGTAATAGATCAATACAAAATAGTACACAATTTAGAGAAGAAACAACTTAGCATTACAATTATTGGGACACATCTGCATCTAAAAGATGTAGCAATGAAATGAATAGAGGCCACTTAGGTATTTCTCCAGCAGCTTTGGTCATAAGCAGACTGATGTTTTCATCAGTTCCACCCTGTGAAATAGCTTATGCTGAGATTGAATGAGGAAAATGTTGAACATAAACAGGTAAGCATTGTATCTACTTTACAACTGACCTAATGTCTGCTGAAACATAAACTTCCACTTGCCACAACTCAGTGTTTTAGATGTTTATATTTTTCATATTTAAAAATGACAGAATAAACAGGAAAGTCTGTTTCCATGGTGATACATGGTAATTTATAATTACCATTTAGAGTTTTTTTTGCAATCTACATGGTAATTGGGGGTTTTCCTCCATACATAATGGACATCAGATTAACAAAAACGCCACATTTTAATTTTTTATTTTTAAAATTAATATGCATGTTTTTCCTTTGTGTTGGTCTATCACATAAAATCACTACAAACTGATTTGTTTCTGTAAAATTTTAAAATAAACTACAAGGAGCGTGGATACATTTGCAATGCACTGTAAATGTATTTCATTGAAAGCTTGCTCATTTCAAATGAGGTCTCCCTGAGTAGTATTGGACAACATGAAGGTTAATGCTGTGTATACTGTATGCCTATAAAAATAAAGGTTTAACTTTATACTTTATGAATGTTGGATGTATTATTGCTTCCTGCCTATTTATTACATCCAGTCAGCACTTCACTTAACACACTACAGTTTTCATTTTTAGGCTTTTTTTATTGAGATGACAGTTTGCTTTAATTTACACAGTAATGGTCATTTACAGTGAAATCATTACAAAATAAAGCTGGGGAACAACAAAAAGAATCCAGACTTTTAATATTTGTTTCAGAAAGCTTCTGTTTGGTGGTGCAGGGAAATCTGAGCTGGTCTTATCATGCCTCCTGCTTGCTTTGGTGCCTTATCATCCGTCTCATGCAAATCGTGACTGACAGGGTGTCTGAAAATGCTCTTCTCCCGTTGAAGGTTTTAAAATCTGCTTCTGGGAGCCAAAACATACCCATATTACAATCCCTTTACTTTAGAATACTCAAAATAAGGTTTTTAAATTATTTTTTTAAAGTTTAACGCTAGGATGCATTAAATAGTGCTCAAAAAGTTTCATATTTCCAACATAAAGCAAACACCCTGTCAGTGCTGACATCCAGCTGAATAGCTCCCTCTACTGACCATTTTACTGTAACCCTCACTACATCATCCGTAGAGCAATTCTAGAGTTGCTGTATTACATTTAGTGGCTTAAATTGTTGGCATCTGTGCAGGTTTACTCGGTCTTGGTGGCCAAACTGCAAATACACAAACATCAAAAGGTCGGGTCTCGCACACACACTCCAGGGACCACATATGATTTTTGTTGTAAAGTGAAAATAATGTGACACTGCTAAGGTGGATGTCCATTTAACGACGGATTCAGTGATGTGTTTACATTTAGATAAACATTTTTTTTTTTTTAATAATAAGCAGCAAAGCACATGTGATCTAAGTTTATCGCACATTTAAACTTTCAGTGGGGATTGTCCATGTAACAAAAACGGAAACCATCACCAACAAACCAACAGTTTCATTCCATTTGCTCAGCTTTTGCTTTCAGTCAACGCATTACAACACGTTTTCAAAAATATTGCTTTGCAAATGCAGGCTTTCAGATTTATACAGCTTCATACATTATTGGCAAATTGTGTCTCTGCTGTACAGTATTTAATTTATTTTTTTACATCTACTGTACATTCTTTCCCTGTATAATTTTGCACAGCTCCGCCCTTCTGTAATGGAGAAAACCCATCGATGTGGTGTTCTGGGGTGCATTAGCTCTACAGACAGCAGAGTGCTGTGCATTCCTTTAACCTGAGCGATCTATGTGATACTTTCAGTACTAAGCAGTCAGTGCAGGTCTTCACTGTAGTGTCTGCTCATACATTGCAGAGTCAAAGGATTTACATTCAGAGCACTCAAAGCTTAAAGTGTATAAACTCTAGAAATAAAAAGAAATATTTAGTACAGTATTAAAGGTTCACATATACATATTTAGATATACATATTTAGATGACATCCTATCTGCTATTTAAAATTTGTAAATAAAAAAAAAACTGTTAGTGACTGGAAGAAGCTTATATTATTGCATTTTACTGCAAAAGTGCGCTCATGCTCTACATATGCATAGCTAGTATGTTTTTAACTGCTTATTTCACATACACAATAGTGTTTTAGTGTTAAGGAGAGCAGTAGTGATTGACGATAACTCAAATTTTTGGTAGCACCACACATCAAATAAAATTCTTCTTAACATCCATTTGAACTAAAGTTTGTATTTTATTTTATTTTAACAAAAGCAGCTAACCAGGCAAGAGCAGCAATGATGGTGTTTTTCTAGAATGGGAAGCAAACATTTCCTTGCAGTGTCAGATAAAATTGTGCTGATAATTAAATTGTATTATGCTGTTGTGGTCCTCTGTAAAAATGTTTTTGTAATTGCTTCTTGTATGGCCATAGAAAGCAGAGTGTCCCTGAAATTAGTCTATTACTAAACATCAAAGGATTATGGAAGGACTGATTTTTAATTTGTATAACTCTGTCACTAGAAATAGCTGTCAAACACTGTAGCACCAAGCTGCTGACAGATTGACCATAGTAAAAGGGACCAGAAGACAGAAAAAATGAAAACTTCTGGGCACTTTGCACCCAGAAATCTTATTTTACACTTTGACTCCAGCATTACATCAACAATCCACAAGCTTCCACGGTCTGAGGTACTATTTCTTAAAATTCTCACTCCACATGACCATGTGTTGTGAATCTGAGCAGGCTACTTGACAAAACGGCAAACTAGCAGTGCTATGGCAAATCGGAACCACTTACAAGTGCTATTCTGTATTGGAAATGCACTATTATAGACTGTAATACAACAAATATAAGCAAATGTATCTTTTACAACCTTTGTATGGATGAAGTCCATAATCATCATTTTTTTTACTTTTGAATGCTTGCAGCTCACCAGCGCTTATATATGTGTGTTGTCGAGCTCTAGGAGTACTAGCTGTTGTTTCAGAATTGGCTCATCTGAGATTGTCCATGAAAGGTATAATTAATATGGCAATCAGTCTATATAGAAAGCTATTGATGAATTTCATCCGGCTCCAAAATGGCTCATAAAGGAAATCAATCAATAAAAGTTGGAATATGTTTCTTGAAATTCCTTTTTTTTCACCCACAGTGTCTTATCTGAACGCTCTCTGGTGAAGCAAGTATGCGTTCAGATTGAGCTTGCTCAGATGAGGCACTTCAGTATTTCACCCTGCAATACAGTGTGCGACTTGTTGGCTACTCATGCAACATGGGGCTTGACTTCAGCTTTAAACTTACTAAAACAAGGATTGTGTAAAACAGAGCACCGGGCGTGTTTTATGACGCTCATTTGTCAAACAAAACACAAAACTAAACATAAAAAATAAAACCAAACAATTAGAAAACTTACTACAGGTATCTGTGTTTTTTTAAGTGCTAGTTCCCTCGATCCGAACTCATACCAACCCCCACCCATTGTCCAAAACGTCCTATGATGCTAGCCACTTCTAAATTCTTCTTCAATTTCTGGTAGATACTTCTTTTCTCTCCTCAGGGTTTCTGTCAGTGGCCTGGAGCTGCTTGGAGACTCCAGATTTTTGGGTTCATTGGTGTGGTAACTGCCTTTTTGCTGGTAGGCATAGACGTAGATGGCATACAAACCTCCCAAGAGCAGCAGCAAAGCCAGAAGGACAATAACTGAAGAATAAAAATAGCACAGTTAGGACAGGGAGACAAGAAGAAACCATCTGCAAAATGTTTGACATTATTGAAAATAGGGAGTGTAAATTTAACTCCTGTAATCTGTAAAATTTGCATGTCAGCAGAGACCATTGGTATCTTGTTCAAGAATAGAATAGTAAATATCTATGGTGCTTTCTGAAAGGCTTTAGGAATATTGACAACAATAAGATATTACTAAAAGTTTTTCATTTGACACAAGATTTTACAAGTAATATATTTATATTTGAAACAAGACAACTGTAATTTTCCATTCAGATGTTATCTTCAACAATATATTGGGCAAAGAAAGATGTCTGCTGTTCTATTGTTTGGATGCCTGAATGGTGTGCCAATCCTTAATAACATGCTGATGTCCTGTATTTGCATAATATCCCAGAGACTAAGTGATCTATTAATCCAAAACATCCAATGATGAGCAGCAAGCTGCGCCCTTGCCAAGCTAAATATAGACTGATCCGGTGAAGGTCTTAGACAGAGGTGGAGCAGAGGGGGTGTTTCTGCTGTAGTTTAATCCAGATTCTTCTGCTTGGCCTGATGAGCAGGGAGACATTTTTGCCCTTTGCCTGTTATTCATTTAAGTCGCACATTCTTTTCAATATTTGACTTGATGTCTAGTAGATTATGAATCCCAAGTTGGACATGTGTAAACGTAAAAGAATACTCACATATTTGTATGACTAGTAAAACTTAACTGTTATTTATAGTAAAATGCTCATCAAAATTAAAACTCAAGCAATTTTCCATTTAAGTAATCAATGATAAATAGATTTATTATTACAGTGATGAAAGAGAGGAGCTTCTGTCTTCTGTATTTAAACTGCGTTTGCAGTCAGATGCCCTATTGATCCTCAAAAACTTGCTCCAAATCTAAGGACCCTGCTGCTATGAAGGATTAAAGCATATGAAAAAAAATACTTACAAGTTATCCAGAACAGGCCAAGATCATCATGAATATAAAAATATTCTGTAACAGAAGGAAACAGTAAGTCAAAGACATAAAAAAATTATATATATATATATATATATATATATATATATATATATATATATATATATATATATATATATATATATATATATATATTGAGAGAGAGAGAGAGAGAGAGAGAGAGAGAGAGAGAGAGAGATATTCCTACAATTTACAGAAATGATGCCAGGTTTTGAAAACTCACCTATGCCAGTGAACCAGGGGTCCACCTCCCAAGGCACGTAACCCAGAACAGGAGGAAAGGCCCCACAATTGGACTCAGAGACATAACCTTGCGTTGTTACAGGCGGATCTGTTTCATTTGGACGGAACAGCGCCTTCAGAGGGGCATAGACGTTGTACCTCACTCCAGAAATGCATCCAATGAAGCCTGGAGCATTGTGCCTTTGGATTTCATAGTCTATGTCACCAACCTCTGCAAAACAAGACACAAGCTGAGAAAAACACATTTATTTTATCAAATACATTCTTTTTTATATGCAGCAAGCAAAATTTTTACCCATAACTCTGCCTAGGAACATGGACTTTGGAGAGTCAAACCTAGCATCTTCCACAAGGGTTATCTTCTCCACAATGGGTTCCATGTAATCCACCTGTGATTGTATATAACTTTTATTAAAGTTTTCTTACTCATAAGAAGTAAATTCATCCAAGTACATCTATTATTTCCTAATAAATCCATTTTCAAAACTGTTAATCAACACCTGATGAAACCACAACTTGGAAATCCACTCTGGGACATAGCCTTTAGAATCTGGAGTCATTGCATGTGGTTTGATGGAACTAAAATTGAAGTGGTTGCCCATAATGACTGTTGCTATGGGGGTGGTTTTTCTGCAGGAGGAAATTATGCACATCATAAAATTAATGGCCTAAGGAAGATAAATTATTTTGAATTTTTGATGCACCATCTTAAGACATCAGCAAGGAAGTGAAAATCTGAGCATAAATGGTTCTTCCAACTGGACAATGACCCTCAGCGTAATACCAAATCAGTTAAAGAGGAGACTGAGGACAACAATGCTATATATAATAAGCATAGGGCTCTTTAAGACATAAGAGTTGTGAAAACTACTACAGAGTAAACTGAACAGAGATTAAGAACCTGTGTTTTGACGGTTCTGTTGTGTCTGGTTATGTTCACATAGTGAGGGTATCCATCTGCCAGGTTTCGGTGAGTCAGCTGATACGTGTGTGTTATGAGCCCGAGCTTATACCGCAGATCTACGCTACCTGTAAGAATAAACAGGGATCGCACAAAGGGATAACCATAAAGCTAAAATGATAAAAGTACACTTTTATTTTGTTTTGCTTCACCTACCATCAACCTTGAGGATAACAGCAATGTAGTCTTGAACAAAGGAACTGATGTACAGCAATACAGCTGGCTTGTGAACAGTGCTGAAACTGAACTCTATGTCATCTGACGTGTCGTTGTACCCGAGACTGAAATTGTCGTAATGTGGGTCGATCCAGTTTGCCCACGCTGCCTCATCTGAAATGGGTTTCTTTCGTATGTTGTACCTTAGCCACGACCCAACCTCAAAGTGAGCTCCGATGTCTTAGAAAAAGACAAATAAGGAATTAGATGCATGCTACAGTCAAAATATAAACAATAAACATGGAATTACCTTTGTGGCAGTAGAAACCATCATAGGCTGTGTTATTACAATCACAAGTGTAGGCTGCATATCCCTCAATGCATTGCCCGCTGTTTCGACATGGTATGGTGGCATTAAGACACTGTCCAGAGCAGTTCCTCCTTATACCTTGCTCCTCATTTACTTTTCCTTCCAAATCAAGAGGAACACCATTCATGCGTAATCCTCGAAGGCACCCCAAAAAAGGTCTGAGGGTGCGGTTGGCTGCACCTAGTGGAAATAATGCACATGCCATTATTTTGAGAACTAGCTTAAAAAAGAAAAACAGATCTTTTCAGTTGAAATTTTAACAAGTTCTATTTGAGGAACCTACCTACAAGGATGGGGTGTGTGAACTCCATGGTGACAAAGGTCTGACCTGGAAACCGTCTGACAGCCCAAGGCTGGTAATCGACCTTGATTCGTGCCAGTTTTGCATTAATCTCAGCCTGAACAAAATGCCACTCATTGTCATTGAGTGGCACAGGCGAGCGAAGAGTCACATTAAGGATGCCATCTCCAACCATAAACACAAACACAAGATTGTGAGTGGCTGCAAGAAAAAAAGAGAGAGATGAAAAACTTTCAATACGATCAGCAAAGGCAAAAATGGTAGATGAAGTCAACTTACTGTTTAGTTCTATTCTTATAAAGTTTCTAAGCTGGTCATCAGAGTTCTCCAAGAAGACACCAGGTGCACGGTAGGTTTTAAAATGGAAGGAGATGTCAGCTGTTGATCCAGGCCTGAAAGTGGGGAAGGTGATGTAGGTGGGCTTGGTGAAGGATATTGTGTTCCAAATATTTCCTGTGAAAATGACAAAAAAAAATTTGTTTAACGATTGGACGTACCTACAGAGCACTGAAGCCCAGAACGTTTTGTTACTTTCATTTAACAATGTGATGGCATGTGATGCTTAGTGAGTTTACTGATTGGTGAATGCTTCGCGGTTGTATTGATTATATCTGAATTACTATGTAAGATTGTGAATTATTTTATGTTCATTGGCTATTTTCTTACTAAAATGTTTTTATTAAGATAAGTCACATCTTTTATGAAAAAAGATGTGTTCTTATCCCCCAAAACTAAAGAAGTAGAAATTAAAAGCCAATTATCAGTAATCAAATTGTAACTGAACTCACTGTCACCATGGCAACGGAGTGGACCAACTGTGAAGTGAGCTTCTGAACCAGTTCTGTTCGTGTCCCCAATCACCAATCTCCTCACAGGCAGGTGGTCTCTGAAGTCCAAATACCCTTTATCTGAGTACCTGGAAAGCCACCGAAGGATAAAATGAATGTCAATATAAAAAACTCAAGTCAAATAATTTGGTTTTTGGTGGTGCCTTTTACCATTGCCTATAGTCAGCATCACAGTTGCACTGAAACTTGGGGTCAACACAGGTTTGGTTGATGGCACAGCCACATTTTTGGACTTCCCTGAACGTCCCGCCCCAGTAATAGTGACTCTCGTTATTCCGTCCGATCCAGTAGCTAAAAGGCCTTCCATCTAATTTCAAATGGATGCACATGTGACACACTAAAGTCTTTAATATTGACTTCAGACGTAAGTAAAGGCATTCAGACTGAGCTCACTCACCAGGGGTGTTGAGGAGGCGAGACTTATAGCATGAATAGTCGATCCACTGCTCACAGTACATGGAGGTGTTGGCAAGAGCACTGACTTCATCCCATGAAGCATTCCAGTAGTTCACATCTGCAATATATGGCTTGTCTATCGAGCTTCCAGTCACTCTGGTTCCTTCAACTCGGTCATGCATTATCACTGTCCAAGCTTTATATGCTGCAAATATATATATTTTTTAAGTAGAAAAGATTAGAGTGGGAAAGTAAAGCAATTACTTTTCAATACAGAGACATCACAGCATCTAACTGTTCTTACTTTACCATGAAATTTTCCTCCTCCTTTCTCATAACGGAGAGCATGCCCATCTGTTTTCATAAAGGCTAAACACAATGCTGATAAAGCTGCGTTTTAGCAACAACAGTGATTACTCACACTTCATTTTGCAGTACACCTCAAATGGTTTTAGCGGCCCACTGAGATCAGGATCGATAGTGTAGTTTCCAGACCAGTACTTGCCGCTGAGTCTGTAGGCCTCACACGACTCTTTGTAAACCGCTATAGTGGGAAATGAATGATCGATTTGTTAATATAAACAAGAAATTGTGCCTTAGTTAAGTGTAAATCAATAAAGAAGGTCATTGAACACAACTTACACATGTGACACACTTCTCCTTTGTAGCCTGTATTTTCACAAATGCAGATGAAGTCATCCCAAGATTGGATGCATCTGCCCTCATGTTCGCATGGGTTTGGAGTACATCTGTAGATAAAAGTCTTGGTTTTTTAAGTCTTTCCACACTTCTAAAGAATATAATAGACCACACCTTAAATACTTTTCTCTAAGTTGCTTTAAATTTTCCTTGCTGAACTTCTAGCTAGCCAAAATAATCTCCTCTTCCAAACAGCTATTACTGAATTTCTATTTTTGAAAATATATTTCAGTTCGAAAGTCTGAAAATATATGTCAAAAATTTTCTTGTATAAATTATATTTTTTTTCAACAATGTAATGAAAGTCCAGGATCAGTTGTGAATTTAAAAATTCTTGCAATCTCCATGAACTGAGCTAGACGCAATCGTGATCAGAAAACTGATAAATTTTTTGTACTTTTCCTTTTGCTGTGGAGTTTCTGGTTCTGAAACTAAGGAGTCCATGTCATTCCTCCTTTTTTACCCCTCTCAGTTCAGATTCAAGCATTGAGGCCTACTGAAAAATAGGGCACAAAAACACTGACTTTATTGTTGAAGGGAGGCCAACAAACTGACAAAGACAAAACTTGATTAAGGTTCAAGTTGTGTCACTTTAGATAATATTTCAAATATTTGATTGGAATCTTGGAATCTTTTTGTTGACAAGAATCAGGGTTAGAATTTTTGATATATTGTGCTTCATTGCATCATTAGTAAGTAGGTTTTGATGACACAAATAATGAAATCAGAATCATCAACTGAACTGTTGGTTTATGAGACTAAATATAGCTTAAGAAGCCTAATAATGCTCCAAGATGATCAGGGAAAATCAGAATTAAATGTCTCCAACACACTATTAAAGTGCTTTGAGTCATTTCATACCTGTCAGTAATCCCACACGTTCCTATCAACAGCTCCTCGTATCGAGCCCACTGTCGCTGCAGTGTAATGTCAATATCAAGCTGCTCGTTGTCTATAAAAATATGCTGCATGCAGCCGTGAAAACGATTCAGTTTGGTCTCACACTTGAACAATGTGTTATTGGTTTTCGGACAACCTGAAAGCATGAAAAGAAATGTTGTGTGATTTTGAAATCAAACAGTCAGCATAACAGAGCTCTTCGCAGGAGTTAAAATTCTCGACTCACCTCCAAAAAAGTAGCGATCCCCTGTCCGTATGCTGAAGGGGTTGGTGATCTTTAGTGGTGAACCTTCTTCTTCGTCAATGGTTAGAGTCAGTAGGTTGTCTCTGGCTGCCAAATCCACAGTATGCCAGTAACCGTCATTGAGCCGGTATCCTAAGGAACAAGAACAGGGATTTCAAGAACTGCAGTGCCTAAACAAGAAGTTTAAATCTTGTAAGGAATGCCTAAGGCCCACCTGCACCAAACTGAATTTTCTTCTTTCCCGTCTGGAAAATGGTGACATTGATTTGACCCTCACTGAGACCTAACTCAAGGGCACCGAGGTTATCAGCAAAGCGTGTGAACATCAGCAGCCCAGTGTAGTCCCAGGAGCGAAACTTAAACTTGACGAACAGCTTTGGCCGACCGAAGAACCCCGGCACTTGCAAGAAGTTGTTTGGTCCAGCAAACGTCATGGGTCTAAGCAGAATGTCTCGACAGGCAAAATGCATCTTTTTCTGTTACAATGGAGAAGTTAGACCATTTAAGTTGGAATAAAACATTTTCAACAAGTTCTTTACTATTAATACAAAGCTTTACCTTTCGAGGAATCTGAACATCAGGGTCTTCTCTCTTGGCTTTGTCAATTACATTGACTCCATTAATAAAGACATTTTCCAGACACCCACGGAAATTCGGTATGGTAGGAAGGTGAGGCAGGTTTGGCTCTATTACTCCTCCAACGTACATCTAAATGACATTCAGTTCAAGTTTTCAGCTTGAAACCTTATCAGACATTCTGGACATTCATGTGAGGATTTTATATTTCGCATTACCTGATCATCCAGATCCAGGTGAGTAAATTCTCCCTTACAAACAGCTGTCACTGTCTGACTGTCCACTGTAAAGTTCACCTGTCGACCATGGCGCTTGATAGTGACATAGTGCCAGTGCAGATTATCCAAAAGGCTACCTGCTGTCAGAGTGATTCGGCCATCGACTTTGTGTATAATGCTGCTTCCTAAAGGAAAAATTGAAAAAGGCTTTCAAAACATAAAGAGATGCCTTTCACTGTCACTCAAAGAAGCAAAGCCACTAATGCATAAGCTCAGTGAGCCTGTTTTCTTTGTTCACTATGGTAAAAATATTAATTCGCAAAATTTTTAATTCTCTTTCATTTCTCACCAAGGCTGATGTGCAGATAAAGACGACCTTTTTTTAGCTCCAGGGTCAATAGGTCTCCCTGAATCCCCTCGCTGTGTAACAGCAGACCATCTTGCTCCAGAGTCTTAAAGTTTATGGCAATGTGGTCATGCAAAGTACGCAACCTTTTTCCTGGATAGGTGTAAACCACTGCATCATCTCCGTTGTATTGCAGCACATAGGAATCTGGAAACAAGGCGATGTTAAGAACTGAACATCAGAATTTCAATCAGTATCATCTTGTTTCTTATCTCTGTTTTATCCTTACTAACTGAGTGATAGAAATTATTGTTTTTTTTTTTTTTTTTTGTAAATCCTTTCAACTCGTCACTGATTTTTACCATAAGAGCAGCCATAGAGCTCCAGTCTGACACCAATCTTTCCTCCATTCTCTGTGTTCCACTCCAGAGGCAACAGACGAATGTGTTTAGCAGTGAAGGCATAATGGAAGACATTCCTCTTCACCTGATAGTAATTCCAGTTAGCAGGCAGGGTCTGCGCACAGATGAGATTGGGAGAGTTATTGCGTTTGGTGTTAATGCCTTATTTGGAGACTGGAGATGAACTGATGAAGAGATTAGATTTGGCACTATTAAAACAGTTATTATGCCATGCTGACTTTGTTTCAGCCCCATTGGCAATAAATATAACAAAGCCACCCCAAAATATCCTAAATCGGCTATAAAGATTACATTTATGTTATTATGACATTTTAATCCTCGGCTCAGCTGTTTTGTGTCCCTCATTCTAACCCTCCTGCTTTAGCTCCTGGCACCTACCGAATTTCCTCCTTTCATGATATATGGTGTCCAGGAGTCTGGTCTGTCTCCATAGAGAAGTGTGTACTTGGAGATCCAGTCATAAGAATTAAACGTCCCCTGGGTTGCGATTGCCACTAGTCTGTACTTTCTGCCCAAGTCAACCTGCAGCCATGGCTGTTTGTCTCTGGGGGACGGGGACCAGCCGCTGCTCCCTGTAGGGCAGAGAAGAAAGTGACAGTTTAAGATATGAAATAGTAACTGGAATGTTAAATTGTTGACATTTAAGCCACATTATAACCCTATTTAACAAAGAGCAGTGAGTAAAAACCTTTTGTTGCAGTATTTGGGTTCGGATGAAGTTCATTTGATTGCATCAATTCCTTTTCATTCCTTTCCTGGATTGGAACTTACTGCTTCAATGTTAACAATGCATACATCACTTTTTTGCTCGGTTGTATTTTACATTAATGTAGTGCAACTGAACTTTATGACAATGGATCGGAACCTAACTATATGACTGGATCATACTGGCATGAGTGGAACTCAATATTTACCAAATTGGATTCTAAATAGTTGCACTTGCATTGTACCTTGTTGTTTGGTGAGCTGCTTTCTGATAACATTTGCTGTGATTTTTTTTTTTTTTTTTTTGCTTTAGGAGTAAACAAAACTGAAATTTAGCTTTGATTAATTTGTGTTGATGTTTTTCTTGCAGAGAAATTAATTTAATTTCTATGCAATTGTTATTTAAAATAACACATGAAATTCTATTCAGTTTTATGTGACAAATTGAGCCTGTCATTCTCAATACAGTAATCAAATTATAAGGTAAAATAGGTAACAACATGGTGGGTAAATCCTGTTTTGATGTAATAATGCCAGAGCAGTGCCTCTTTGCATCCAGATACACCAGCATAAAATCAGGTGCAAATAAGTGGAATGAAGCCTTCCTTGATGTTCTGAGTCACACTCTAGCTTTCTGCTTATAAGAAGTTAAAAGCTACCAAGGATTGAGCTGAATAGCAAGTGTATGGAGAAAATGCAGATAATGAATGGGAACTTACCATAAAGTTTTGCAAAGTTGGCAGAGTACAGAAAATTATATCTTGAAGAGGCCAGGAATGAGGAGGCATAGAGCCCAGAGATGAGTGGATCAACACATTCTCCTGCAGAAACCAAATGAATGATATCAAAGTCAGAAAGCATCAAAATTACTTCTCATTATGCTGCAATGAAATTCTGCCTTTGTAACAAGCCCCAGTCTGACTTTAATAAGTGGTCGATTCAGGTTGTGTGAAACATTATTTCATATTTCACAATAAGCACAGACCCATAAGCAGGTGGAGCAGAGCTCATAAATCTAACAGACTGCCCTTAGAGCTCCTAAGAGAGCATGTCTGGCTTACATCTTTGTTCCTTCACTATTTTTGGGCAAACTATAAACAACTAAAGGCTAAATTTAACTCTGAAATACATCTTCAAACATATCACACACTTCCAGACCTTTTTTTCAAAAAAATTGTAAAAACATTGGAGTGTCACATAAATCTCTCTGTGTTTACTCCACTTTACGATAAGAATAGATGCTTTTTCTGAGTTAGAAAGTCACAGTAAAATTGAGAGCACATCACTAACATGTTGGGTTGCTCTGCACGTCATTGTGAGAGACTAATAGTAACATCCCCAATCTGCTCTCTGGCCCAGGTCTAATAAAGGTTTCCGTAATTCTGCCTAATCTCACTTCTGTCACAAACAACAATAAATGTCTGATGCCCTCAACTTCAACTGCAGAAGAAATCTATTCCTTTTAAGTGACAGAATATTGCTTTTTATACTCTCAAAAGAGTTAATATAAGTAGACTTTATATCTAAAAGGACAGGGTTTTACTTAGTAGAAAAATTCACTTTTTCATTAAGATTTTCTTTGTCCTTAGACAGTGTGTTTACTGGAAAAGAAGGAAGTTTCATTTTGTATGTGTGTTATTATGCTAGCAGAGGTCATAAAGAAAGGTTAGAGACTATGGATAATGGCAGAACGATGAAGTCTGCAAATAGGCGAGTATAAAGTAGAATGTGGTGTCAAATCACAAAATGACATTGCAGTGAAGCAGAGGACTTTAATGAGAGCAGATCATATGACGAAGGGACATGAGAAAGCAAAATGTTTTCATCATGAACTAGAACAGCCATGAGGCTAATAAACTATGCCTCAAACACACCCTTCTGCATGCTGCACTGATATATACTGGGACTTTAATATGTTATTCACACAAGCTGAACTTCTGTCCTCTTCAATGCTGCACATTCAGGTGGAAGAAACATGCTGAGCGAGTGAAAAATGACCTCTGTCTCAAATGACCTTCACTTGTGTTAGCATACAGAGATCCCTTCCAGGCTGCAAGTTATCAATAAGAGATTCATTTCCCGTCACAGCATCATCTCTTTTCTGCACCCTGGTCTTTTCCACAGATATATTAAGAAGCCCTGTGTACTCCCACGTTCACAATTGTTTTTCTTTTTTGCAAATGGTTTTGATTTAATTCCTTGTGATGCTGTGAAGGTGGAATAAATTTGACTTTGAAAAAGAAAATTAACTCTATTTTAGGCTCCAGTAGGTTAACTCAGATTATTTAGCTCCTCCTTACTGCAGGCTTGACACTTACTCTGCACCTCCACCCAGTCTGTGTGTCATTTTCTTTTTCCTTGCTCTCACTCCTCTGTCTTTATCTCCATCCAAACTCTAAAAATAACCTTGCATCCCAATCATTTTCTTGTGTTGCATCTGAATCCTCTGCTTTGCTGCCTCTTTCATCCCAACTGGGTGTTGCTATGATGCAGCAATTAAAGTGGACCATACCTGATGCCTGGGTGATTAGCCTACACATTTCCCTCTATTTCTAATTATATCACAATCTGATTAGATCCTTTATACATTCTGCATGTATAACGGTTCTGTGATGATCAGTGCAACTCCAAGAGATCACAGCACCATCACTGCTGAATCATCAGTCTGTTTTTAAGCGAGAGTCTGCTCCGTCTGGGCTGAGACATCATTTCTGAGTGTTGCATCCATTATGCACTGAGGCAAATCTTAAAGCTGGCACTATGCAGGAGGCAACTGAGGAGCAACACTCTCTACAACACATTGCTGCAATGCCAATAATATACCAGAAACAAGAAGAGGAAATAGAAAAGGTTAAGCTAGAAAGCTTTCTGTTAAAGCAGATTCACTAAATAATTTATGCTGAATCAGGCTTCAGCAGGGTGTGCCAAAATACGACGTGCGACACAAAACTGTAATACATGCTTAAGTATCAGTCATATTCAGAATGTGACTCTGATAGAATATATAACAAAATAGCTAATTTGTTAGCTATTTTGTGTTTTTTGTGTTTTTGTGTTTGTGTTTTCTTTTCACCATTAATATTAACAGTACGGTATATACAAACACTTCAATTTTTTTGCAAAAAAAAATTGCATCTGAGAGGAACTTTGCAGCCCCACCCTAAAAGTGGATTATAAGCTTTAGGATCTGATGATCCATATGACACACACCTCCGCCATGCATACACAACCCACATACAGTAACATCCAGCATTATGTCAATAGACCTTTGTCTGGCAGATATATAGGACTACAGTGATTAATCTATATAACCAAACATCTTCAGCTAGCTCAATGCAGCAAGACTCCTGTGATCAGCAGCCTGCCATAGATTACATGTCAACTTTTTTCTTAATTCCTAAAATTTGTTTGAAATATTTTTAGCAGTTATGTCACACAAAATATTGTAATGTAAGTAATTCTAAAACTAAGATGCAAGAAAAATATGTAAAGTTTATTCATATTATTGTAATAAACTTGTTAAATCATGTTTCCATACTTCACATTCTGTAGCTCTTGGTTGACACCCCAACAGGGTTTCTTAAACTGATGAGTCAGTAAAAACCCTATGAGGTCATCGCCGGTAATCAAAAAGGCAGCTTGTCAGTACGGACTAAACCTCTGATGGATCGCAGCTCCTGTCTCTGTCGCCAGTTTTACCCTATGAATGTAATGACTCCCCATGCAGGTGCACGCAGGCTACCCCAAAAAAAAGTACTGCAGTGGGCTGGTCCTGGTGAGGACAGAGCCGCGCAGTCTCTCAACCATCCTCATTCAAATGCGTTTAAGAGATTTTCAGCAGCAAGGTTCTAAAACATATCTGAACAAATATATATGTATATTATCTTGTATTATGAGCTCAAGTGACGTGGCGCCTTATGAAAGTAAAGATGTACAGCACGCTGAAAAAAAAAACAAAAAAAAACTTGCGTGCTGCTTGAGAGAAAGCACTGCAATGCAGACAGTCCTGTGCTGGAGAGGGACCACCATGCACACCCTTTGCAAGACAGACTCAGTCTGCCCGCGCACTTTTTTATGCTATTCCGCAAACCGACGCCTTCAAAACTGCAGCAGTAAAAAAAAAAAAAAGAGGTAAAAAAAAAAATCGTAATCATCCGGCTTTTATCACAATGTCTGATTTGACTGCAATGTGTGTTGCCCTTCAAACATCCCAGCATTTCTGGCTTTGCCCTCCATTAGTAGGCTATTTGATAACTGCTGTGCCTCTGGATGCAATCCTTAACTTTTACAGCTACATCAGCCCAACATAAAGCAGATTCTAGGTAAGACATTGTTATGCACTCTGAAATACGCATAATTCACCTATGCACTAGCAAGCGGTTACACATGAATAATTTCTGTTTGACAAGACTTACGTGATGAGCAATGTTGAAAACCCAAAAACAAGAGGCATATGCTCAATATTTTGCAAGTCATCCTTCACTTAGAAAGACGTTTCTCCACATAGGCTATGTTAATTAGATCGAAGATTCCTCTGCAGCATCCTCTCACCCCCTTTTTAATCCAACTTTAACTCGCACAGCTCCAACTCCTCTTCCCGGGATCTCGGGCAGCCTCTACCGGGGCGGGGACGCGCTTCGGATGCTGGTGCTGATGCTGGGCTTCACCGAGAGCGCGCTTTTTGGTTTTTTATCTCTTTTATATTGCTAAGTTTATAAGAAAATCTCGTAAGGTTGTTGATCCGGCGTCTGACATTTCGGCGAAAGTGCTTAAAAAGCGCTGGGAATCTTGTTGACCAAGGTGGGATGGGGTTCCTTTGCGTCTCTTCCAAGGGAGTCTGGGTTCTCAGATGCAGAGGAGGCAGTGGGGGAGGAATGTCAAAACTTTTTTGGTCCACTGCAGTCTGGCAGCATTTTTCTAGATGACTTAGGTATTTTAGCTTTCTTCAATCTTAATAGTAGAGATATAGACATTAATGTTAATACAGAAAAAAATATTTTTCTGGCATTGCTCTTTACTGTTCATTTCAGTTTCATTTCAGTAGGCTGCACAAGCATGCACTGCTGATGTGAAGGATGATCAAGATCTTTCTCTCCAGGACTGCGGATCAGATCTTATTCCCAAAATAGAAAATTCCCATCCTCTGCGGTAAGGATAGCCAAAAAGGAAGCCAGTCACGTCCTTCAAGCAGTTTGAAAGATCCTCCGGTCTGTCCATCCAACCTCGTCCTGGTGCTTTTTCAAACCACCACGTTTTCAAATGTGCCCACAGCAGTACAAAGTTACAGGATGATGATGCCAGCTGTGCCTGACCTCAGACTCATCCTTTCAGACGCACACATAGGTGGGGGCAGGGTGTGTGGGGGAGAGGGATTTGTACAAACGGGTGGCATACTGACCATAAAATAAAAAAAGGCTTTTGGATTAAGGCGGGGGTTTATGTAGCGTCTGTGTGCCACTGATGATGTGAGATTGAATGCTTGGGCCAGGGACGGATTTGCTGAGTTTTTCAATCAAATCAGATTGTCAGCTTGTAAGCTCCCTGCCTCTGGCTTTCTCCATGAAATACCATAAGAGTATAGAAATATTGCTAATGCAAGAAGAGAACACAATTGAATACAGAAGAAAGCATAAAGTAGGCCAACAAATCTGCAGGGAATAGCACTGCATCAGACTGGCCAGGCAGTACATTAGGATTTATTTAACTGATAAGGTTCAAAAACTATTAAGTGAACAAAGACCTCTCAGTCAGGGAAGAAATAATTATTCTCTATGTCCTGCTCTTAAGCTATGTCACAGGCCTTTTCTGCATGGTTTTTACCACAAAAGCTCAGTGTGTTTTGAAAAAATTACCCACTTATAAGCCACCAACAAACAGAATAATTTATGTGAAGGTGCCCATACCATTTTTTTAAACCAGAATGATGAGCATGAGGACATCAATTGGCATGCTGGTGCCACATTCAGTAATGCCATTTTAGTCAAGGTCACCCTCTCCCCTGACTAATGGAAAATCTCTAAATGGCTCTAGTTGTAAATGGCCCTTTGGAAATGCTTGGTCCCTTTTTCATCATTCTCGATAAATCCTATCTTATTTTTCTCACAGAGTTTCATTCACTTTTTCATGGGAAAACCTAATTCTTCTTCCGACTCAATTTTTCAGAATTGGAACCTGAAATTTCTAACTTTACAACAGTGAAAGAACAGAAGTTTGCTTTGAATTTTGAACTAGAGATGGATGGATGGATGGATGGATGGATGGATGGATGGACGGACGGACGGACGGACGGACGGACGGACGGACGGACGGACGGACGGACGGACGGACGGACGGACGGATGGAATAGCTCTTTGCATCTCTCCTTGTGGAAACCATACAGATAATCAGAAGAAACCTAATGCAGTTGCAACAGCTCACTGTTCACGGTAATATAATAAGCTGATTAATGACAGCAGTCAGAAGCAGATATTATATTATTAACCTAAAACCTTTTGGATTTATTATTGTGATCTATTAATGTCTTTATTTGTGTGATGAGAACTTTACATGTCTGTTAATGTTAAAAAATAATAATAATGTTTTTATTAAATTTGCAATATGTAATTTTGTCTTCCACTATTTCGACATGTATGTAAATAATAATAATAATAATAATAATAATAATAATAATAATAATAATAATAATAATAATAATAATAATAATAATAATAATAATAATAATAAACTTTATCATGTTTTTTTAAAATGTATCATGTTGTTTAAATTTTCTTTATGGCCCAGGAGAAAAGAAGAGTTTTTTTGTTTTATTTTATCTACTTTCAGTCATCAGATAAGCATGTCTGCCGCATCAGAAGATTCAATTCCAAAAATCACCAGTAGGTGGCAGCTAAAGCTCACATTTAAGTTTCTGCGTCTTACGTTTGAGTGAAACCGCTACCAGGCTTGTCTTGAATTGTGGGAGATTTACTTTTAAGACACAGAAGGTATTTGCAAATACACACAGGACTTTGTTGTTCTCTTTTAACAATGCAATACATTGGTGTTTTTTTTTAGAATTGTAACAAATTGTGAAAAAATGCCAGGTGTAAGATCAATTTACCACATAACTCTAATTCAAAGCAAAAACCATGCAGTAAAAGTCATTCTTCTAATGAAGCAGATTCAAACAAGGCATGCTGACACATTAGCATCTTTTTCTCATAGGAAATGTTTTTTTTTTATTTGTGTGATTTTTTGTTTTGTTTAGCTTTTTTCTGGGATCAGATCAGATTTTGGCTTTGTCCTAAAATGTCAAGTTTTTTTCCATAGGGGTGCCATGGGGCTTTTACCACAAACATGGAAACACAGAGTGCATTCTGTATGGTGCCTATATGCAAACAAAAACACACGTACAGAGGAATCATTATGCTGATCTGTCATCATGGATGAGTGCCACTTGTCATGAAGATGGATGATGGACTGTGTGGAGGTTTGTATGATGAACGTGGGCTCTTTTCATGTTTCTGATGTGTCAAGCACAAAACAAAAACATATAATGCTGACACTGACAATCGGAACCGGAAACTGCCGAATTCAGCAAGATATTGTCCCTGCTGGCTTGCTGATGAGACAATTGTTTATTTTGGCCACCACCGATGGGAACATAATGTTAAGTGTAGTTGCAGAGGACCTGCAGTAAACAGAACAGCCTCCTGTCAGGTGTCCATACACTACTGTGATACCTGCAGCAGCTGAAAATAAGCCTTAGCAGGAGATGCACAAATGAGCACATCCTCTCCCTCAGTGCCCAGGAAACACGGTTCTCTAACTATAATGTGTGAGCTGCCTTTAGTCATTTTTGGTTTCCAATATTTGTTAAATAAAAATGAAATCAACTGTGAGATGAGCATTTTGATCTGTATTTCATCCAAAGTTTTCAAAAACAAGTACAGACGCCAACAGAGAACTGAAGCAGACAAAAGTGAGCCATAAACAGGAGCTGGTCTCTACTTTGACTGGACTCAGATCTAAGCCAAATTAAGACATCAAATTCAATGCAACCCATTTTCCAGGTTAAAGTTCAAACCCCAGAACTTGGAACTGGAGTCAGCAGTGTGATTTGTTTTTTCATATGTTCATTGCCCAGAGACACCACCAGGAGGAATACAAGCTAAAAACCAGCAATTTTCCAACATTTTTCCAAAAGGAATGTCTGAAAACTTTATGAGATGCAAAGATCGGAAGTATACATAAAAGATTTTTAGTGCATAGTTGGAGCCTGAGCTTGAGACTGGTGAGAAGCTGTCAGTTTTTCCATGTGGGAGGGATTGTTCTGTTAATTTTTCAAAGGTCAAGGCCAATAAGTGGGAGTTTTCTATTTTTTTGTTTGTTTGTTTGTTTTTGTTGTTTAATGGTTGTTAGTATGAGTTGCTGTTAGGAAACTAAAATAAGATTTTAGTGTCAATGTTACCTTGAGCTGTTTTTTTTTTTTTTTTTTTTTAAGTTCCTATATATCAATCACTACTGAAAAGAAATTTGACTTTGTAAGGTCATGCTGTGAAATTGGGCCTCTGTCTCTTTAAGAAGCTTCTACTCTTTCTGACATTCCCTCTTTAGCATGTCATTACGACAGCGTTTCTTCACTAAATTTTTAACAGCCTTTCTTAAAACTGTTGGCCTCAGAAATAATTTCTATGTTAATCTCAGCAGCAGCACATTTTCCAGGGCTCCAGCTCCAAGGAGGGGCTTTGTGTTAATAGGCTGCTCTTTCTAGGAGCAACAGTTTATATACTAATGATATATTTCAAGAGAGAGGAAAATATTGGTCACATAATTTGTTTTGCTGCATAGCTCCTTGAGAAAATATAATTTTTGGTGTACTCTTTGTTTGAAGAATTTCACTTAATTTAGCCTGACTTCATCCTCTCCCTCTATCAGCATTTATAATACCTAATAGTTGATTCACAACACATACTTGCACTTCTACTACAAGGCTTACTACAAAGGCATTGTACTTAGTCCCTGAGCACCTAAATGCTAATTACATTTAGCATTCTTCTTGAAAGAAGTTTTAATGCAAAACTTCTTTCCACACCCGCAGACAAGCCTTAATAAAGACACACTTATATTGCTTCTCAAACTTGATTTATGTAAAACAGACACACAACGACAGCTCTGCAAATACATTCACTCACACACCTGCATGGAGTTTGAATACTGACAACAGCTGTGGTCTTCTAGACATGCATAGAACCGAGACACTTTTGTTTTCCAATGTTTGAGTACCCATACATGGAAGTTCAGACCTATAGCGAGTGGCGCATACACACACCTACACGTCATTAGATTGCGCTTTCCTCATGCAGCAAACAAGCCACAGTTTAGTCTGCTTCCTAGTTTGTTTGCCCACTGTTTTTTCTCTTTTGTTGCCCTGACTTGAGCTTTGTTTGAAGTGAGCTGTTAAGTCCAGCCAATGACAGTTGCAGCTGGGAGGACGATGAGTGAGGATAAAAAGAGTTGTGCCAAGTCGCAAAGTATGACGGTTGGTTAGGTTGGATAAACAGGAGGGTGTTTGTACCAGTTTTCACATTGCAACAGCAGGATGGTTCTCTTGTATTTCAAAAATATTGCGGTATCACAGTGCATGGAAACTATAACATTTGGAAATATCTGACAGGACATGCAAGTTGTATCCCTTCTGGCTCTTTAAGTTGAGCTCCAGTAAAGCAGCTTTTGGAAGTGAGGTTTGAGAACAGTGTGTCCCCACAAAGCTGTGCCCCCCTCCACTTATAGACTGCAGGTGGGGAGGGAGTTGGGCCACTTGATGGGCAGCTAAAGGAGTGGAGATCTTATTCTTCTGAGGTTGTTATCTGCACAAGGTGTTTAAATCTTAAACTTTTGAAATCAAAAAACAAGAATAATTTGATGTCCTCAGTTAAAAGGAGGGAATGGGACCTCATTAGTTGTGACTAACATGGGTATTGTTCCTGATGATGAACCATTAGTGAGCAAGCCAAGTCACAGGCCAGGCCCAGTGGAAGTTTGTGGTGTAAAGTGGGTGCTTGCAGAAAGGGGGAGGTGCGGAAATAAAATACAGCCCGACTCCTCCTCACACAGTTCACCCTCTCTTACTGTTGCTCTTGGAGGTCACAGCACCTAGCAACAGCCTGGATCAAGCCCTGAAGGAAACATGAGACAGCACACAGGCATACACACACATGCACACGCCTACACACACAGTTTGTGCTGGAAAATGCATTTCTTAAATACGAAGATAATGAACTTACTCTGTTACTGCATTTA